TAAGAACAAGGACATTTCTTTTATCTAATGCTGCAATATTTTGTGAAGAAAACTAACAGTAATCTCGTTTTATCCTCTAATATGAAGTCTAGAATCAATCAGAATTCACTAAATGTCCCTAAAATGTTTTTTATTTTAATACTTTTTAAAATTTAGTGGGGCACCTGTGTGGCTCAGTCGGTTAAGTATCGGACTTTGGCTCGGGTCATGAACTCATGGTTTGTGAGTTTGAGCCCCATGTCGGGCTGTGTGCTAATAGCTTGGAGCCTGGAGCCTGATTCAGTTTCTCTCTCCCTCTCTCTCTGCCCCTCCCCCATTTGTTCGTGCGCGCTCTCTCTCGAAATTACATAAACATTAAAAAATTTTAAATCTAGGATCAAATTGAAGTTTATGCATCATGTATTTTGGTTATTAAGTCTCCGTAGGCTCTTAATCTTAGAATACCCTTGCCTGTGCCTTTTATTAAAAATCATGTCATTGACTTTTTTGAAGAGTTTAGGCCAGTTGTCTTAGATAATGTCCTGTGTTCTAGATTTTTATGATTTGTCTGAGTTTGTCCTTATGGATTAGGTTCACATTACATTTTTGGCAAGAATACATAATAGCTGCTGTCACTTGCTTACTGCATCATATCAGACGATACATAGTGTCTGCTTGTCCCACTTTTGGTGGTTCTACATTTGATCATTTGGTTAAGATTGCTTTATTATGAAGATGCCTTTCTCTTCTGTAGTTAATAATTGCCTGTGAACTTAATTATCTTGTTTTCATTGGGCTGACACTAAGGCTGGGCATTGCTAGAAAAAAAATCACAAAACAGAGTCTATTTGTGGCATTATAAATTCATGATTATTAATCTCACTGCATTCCTTGCAATATATAGCAAAGTAATCCTACTGTGTTTCTCTAGTCACCTTGTGTCCCCCCTCTCCACCATGATTTGAGATCTTTCTCTTCTCAAGCCTTTGTTCATTTACCTTTTGTATCACTTCGAAAAGGTGATCTCGAGGGACGCCTGGGTGGCTCAGTTGGTTAAGTGTCTGACTTTGGCTCAGGTCATGATTTCATGGTTCGTGGGTTTGAGCCCTGCATTGGGCTCTGTGCTGACAGCTAGCTCAGAGCCTGGACAGCTAGCCCTCTGACCCTCCCCTGCTCGCTTGCTCTCTCTCTCAGAAATAAATAAAACATTTAAAAAAATTAAAAAAAAAAGAAAAGGTGATCTTGATTTCTTCTATTTCCTGGAAGAAGGAAAGGAGTGCCTCTTCTTCTATCATAAACTAGCATGGTGGAGCAGTTAAGAGTGCTGGCAATAGAGTTGAGAGTGTATAGTTTTGGATCCCACTTTGACTACTCACCCATTTTACTTTGAGCTTAAATCATTCTATCGTGGTCTTAATTGCAGGAGAATTACCATTGTACCTCATAGAGTAGTTTGTGAGGTCAAATAAGGTAAATCATTGTAAAATCATTAGTATAGTGCCTGGTATGTAGTGTATGTTCAATAGATATTAGCTCTTATTATACCATTTCTTAAAAGATTTACTGTGTGAATTATCCTGTCTCCTATATCTTCAACCTCTCCTATTCTGTTGACCTCTTCCTTAGGCACTTAAACTTAACACAGCTTCAACCTCTCCTATTCTGTTGACCTCTTCCTTAGGCACTTAAACTTAACATTTACGCATCCCATTGTATTCTGGTTTTTGCTCCCACCATTCCAGTAAACTAAATAAAGTCACTGTGACATCTCTAAATATATTTTTATTACCCTTACCCTTAGTGCTTCCCATTTCATTCTTCATTAGAGATCAATGGTGCAGCTGTGAGCTCATCATTCTCTTGTAAAAGCAAATGGATTTCTATTGTTTTTGACATAAAATCTCAAATCATTAATAATAGTTCATCGGTCCTGCTTAACTACCCATCCTTATCTTTTACACATTTCCTCATCAGTCTGAGCACTTGAACCTGGTAAGTCCTTTGATTTTCTTCAACAAGCTTTACTCATACCAGAGTATTTGCATTTTGTACCCCCTTTTGGACCACTCTTTATTTTCCACCTGTTTATTTTGGATAGTGTCTGGCTTCAGCTCAAAGGTCATATTCTCAGTAAAACTTCCCCTGACTTATGTCAGAAGAAGTGCAGCAACTGTACTTTAACTTCTTATCTTTTATTACAATTATAATTAGTGAATTGGGTAATTCTTCTCTAGAATGTGAGCCCATCAGGCACTGTAACCATCTTGTTCATTGATGTATCTCCAGATTTTGCTAGTACAGTTGTTTTACTAGAAGGTATTTGGTAAGTATTTGTTGAATGAAGAATGAATTACTATTATTTATTCATAGAAATATCACTCATCTCTTCATTATTTATTTGGGGTTCATTGTATTTTATGGAGGTTCCCTGAAGACTTGTACCACCTCTTTACAGATAGTCTGAAAGTATAGCTCTAAGTGGCTGCTGCATACTAGTGATATCTTTGAAATTGATTTTATCTTAATTTTTAAATTTTTTTTTACATTTATTTTTTTTGAGAGACAGAGTGAGGCAGAGCATGAGCAGGGAGGGGCAGAGAGAGAAGGAAACACAGAATTTGAAGCAGGCTCCAGGCTCTGAACAAGAGTTCAGCGCAGAGCCTGACGAGGGGCTCAAACCCATGAACTGTGAGATCATGACCTGAGCCGAAGTTGGACACCTAACCTACTGAGACACCCAGGTGCCCCTATCTTAATTTTTAAAAACTATTTACTTTTGAGGACACCTGGGTGGCTCAGTCGGTTAAGCATTCGACTTCAGCTCAGGTCATGATCTCACAGTTTGTGGGTTTGAGCCCCGCGTCAGACTCTGTGCTGACAGCTAGCTCAGAACCAGAGCCTCTTTCAGATTCTGTGTCTCCCTCTCTCTCTGACCCTCCTCTGCTCATGCTGTCTCTCTCTCTCTCTCTCTCTCTCAGAAATAAATAAAACATCAAAAAAAATTTTTTAAATGTTTATTTTTGAGAGAGACTGTGAGTAGGGAAGGGGCAGAGACAAAGGGGGACAGAAGATCTGAAGCAGGCTCTGGGCTGACAGCAATTAGCCAGATAGGGGCTCAAACTCATGAACTGTAAGATCATAACCTGAACTGAAGTCAGACACTTAACGGACTGAACCACTCAGGTGCCCCTCTTTAATTTTTTAAATTTAATGTAATTTATTTAATTTTTAATTTTTTTATGTTTATTTTTGAGAGACAGGGAAGGAGAGTGCATGTACGTGGAAGGGGCAGAGAAACAGAGAAGGGAACAGAGGATCTGAAGTGGGCTATATGCTGACAGCAGAGAGCCCAAAATGGGACTTGAACTCATGAACTATGAGATCATGACCTAAACTGAAGTTGTCCCCTTAACCTACTGAGCCACCCAGGTGCCCCTTTGATTTTTTTTTTTTTTAAGTAAGTTCTAGCCCAGTGTGAGGCCTAAACTTCAGACCCCCAAAAATCAGGAGTCATATGCTTTAACCAACTGAACCAACTAGGCGCCCCAAGATCTGTTTTATCTTTAAAATACTTGAACACTTTGCCTTCTGTTTTGTAATATTCTCTTTTTTAAAATATTTTAAGTAATTTCTACATCCCATGTGGAACTCAAACTCATAACCATTTGATCAAGAGTTGCGTGTTTCACCTACTGAGCCAGCTAGATGCCCCTGTTCCTGAAGTCTTATTTATTTATTTAAAGTTTTTAGATTTTTTTTGAGAGAGAGAGAGAGAGAGAGAGCACATGCATGCGCATGGAAGCTGGGAGCGCAGAGAGATAGAGGGAGAGTGCAAATCCCAAGTAGGCTCTGCACTGTCAAGATGGAGCCTGACACAGGCCTCAAACTCACAAACTGCGAGATTATAACCTGAGCCTAAATTGAGTTGAATGATTAACCAACTGGGCCACCCAGGCACCATCTTACTTTTGTTAAGCAAACAATCCCTTGGTATGCCTGGGTGGCTCAGCTGGTTAGGCATCTGACTTTGGTTCAGGTCATGAGCCCACAGTTAGTGGGTTCAAGCCACATGTCAGGCTCTGTGCCAACAGCTCAGAGCCTGGAGCCTGCTTGGGATTCTGTGTCTTCCTCTCAGCCCCTTCCCTGCTTGTGCTCTGTCTCTTTCTCTCTCAAAAATAAAAAAACATTAAAAAAAAAAAAGAATCCCTAAAACTGGTTATAGGACAGTTTTATAGATAAAATAGAACAGACACTCTTTTGATGAAACATTTCCAATTCTTTAAGATATTTCTCATTTGACATGGACTCAAGTCCACTTGGTAGCCTATCCAGACTACGCAAGAACTATTCTCTGGTTCCAGAGCTGAACACAGCTCTTCAAATATTACCAGCAAAAGATACATTGAATGAGTAATGGCCAAAATGCAATGAGACAGAAAACTGGTGCTGCTTGCATTTATGTTTTGCTTATCAAAAGGGTATAGGTACAGTAAAAGTAAATGCTTTAAATTGATCTATTTGTAGAAATAAGGTAAAATTAAGTCTATATCTTAAGATTATGAAGACAAAGACTATGTAGTTGTAGTAAGGCTGTAGTTTCACCTTTAGTTTTAAGAATGCTTTCCAAATTAACAAATGCTAAAACAAAACACATTTACGTTGTAGAAAGTGGTTGCCTTTGTAATGAAATATGCAGATGTGTACAATGGTTTCACTGAAAGTGTAAATAGGTGCAGATGAGTTACCAGGACTCCCAACAGCTATACATGTGTGTGGCCATAGTTCTAGTGTACCAGACAGGATTCTGAAGAAAATTCCAATATAAGTGAAATAGGCTTTACTTTTTAATATATATTTGAGAATGGTTAAGCAAATATTTTACTTATTTACCACTCTAGTTAATTGCTTGAAGAACTGAAACCAAGAATACCTGGAGGTTTTCTTTTGGTATAGTTTGTGATTAATTCGTATAATATACACTGTTTAGTACTTTATGTGTTAATTATTTATGTGTGTAACAGGCAACTCAGAGTTGTGTTGACGAATGTCCTATGGACGGATTTAGGACGAAAATTCAGAAAGACCCTACCTAGAAACGATGATAATTTATGTGATGCCAACAAGGTGCAATCAGACTCATTGCCTTCGACATCTGTTGACAGCCTAGAGACATGTCAAAAATTAGAACCTCTTCACCAAAGCCTTAATTTATCTAAAAGGTATGTTGTTCAGTATTGATTTTGTTCAACTTACCGCATTTGAAATAATAAAACTCCCAATAATCTTAAAATTGTTAAGATTGTTGGAAATGATTTTTAAGAAAATCTGCATATACAGGTATGCCCCACTCGAAAGCAAATCTTAAAGCTGACAATCTCAGTTTACAAAGTTAACAGTACTTTTGCATTTCATTAAGTAATTTGACATAGAATTATTTTGAAAACCAATTATCAATATATTTATATTACTTTATAATTTGATTCACATACACATATTCTTACAGACTCATTTATGATATAAAATGAAGATATATAGATAGATAGGTAAGGACTTAGATTAAATAATTTATGAAAGGTATGTTAAAGATGGAGAAAGTAAAGGTATATATATCTATTTATGTGTTGACAGAATTGAGAGAATTAATAGTTTATTTTTTATTTTCTGCATCTTTAACTTACCTATTAAATATTGTTTAATATACGTCCTTACCACTTTTAACTTTGTATTTTATGTGCATTTTCAAATAAAAGAGGTGATAATTAAAATAATACCCCTAGATTTTTAATAATAAATATCTAGTTTAATTTTATAAATAAGACCAGTTTTGTTTTATATTTTTTAAAGGAATTGTGTATGGAATTTGGGGCTCAAAGTGGGAATTAGCTCTGGGAATTTGTGATCTGTAACATAATATTTTTAATGTATTTCTACTTACAGTTTTAACCCTTAAATGAATGTTTTGAGGGAAGTACTTTGCTTTTAATTAGAATAACTTGTCATTAGCTTGGTAGTGCTTTAATTATATGGTCTATAACATATAAGTGCTTCAGCCAAGTCCAGATAAAAACTGATAGATTTCTTTTTTTTTTTTTTTTAATGTTTCTATTTATTTTTGAGAGAGAGAGATAGACAGACATACAGACAGAGTGCGAGCTGGGAGGGACAGAGAGAGAGGGAGACCCAGAATCCAAAACAGGCTCCAGGTTCTGAGCTGTCAGTACAGACCCCGAAATGGGACTCGAACTTGTGAACTGTGAGATCTAGAGCTGGGCCGAAGTTGGATGCTCAACTGACTAAGGCACTTAGGCACCCCAAAACTAATAACGTTCAACACAATTATTTTAAAAGTAAAAATAGAACTCTATCAAATCATCTGAATGTTGTATTATACATTAATTTTAAGAGGATACTTCTTTTAAAAAAGGCAAAAATGAAAATATAAGTAAAAGAATTTCCTTATGTGTTCATGAAATTAAAATACAGTATGAAGTTAAAAGTCTCAGTAAGATTCTAATTTGGTTTTTACAGTGTATGTGTGTGTGTGTGTGTGTGTGTTTTCCCTTTCACTTCACTGCTAGCTAGTCCAGACCTTTTCTCTCAGCTCTAAGGCTCCTAAGTTGAACTTGCTCCAAAGTGAATGCAATATCTTTGTTCTCAGACTTATTTCTATTTCCATATCCCCTTCCTGTGTGAGTATATGACTTCTCTTTCTTTTTCACCCTTTATATCTAGTCATTTTTCATGTGTAGTAATTTTTGCCTCCTAAATCTGTTTTTGAAATGATCTTGTCTACTTTTTTTTTTTTTTTGCCATTGCCTCAGTTCAAGCCCTGATAACTTTGTGCCTTTATTACTATTAGTATTGGGCTTCCCACGAATGGCCTTTTCTTCTTGATAATTTCCCTGTATTGTTGTTAAGTTAATCATTCTGAAAGGCAGATGTTACTTTTAGCTCTCTAGTTTAACATCTTTCTGTGGCTCCACGTAACCTTCAAGATAAACTTCAGACTCCTCAGTTTACCATAGAGGGTCCTTAATGATCTCCTGTTTGCCTGTCTCTAGCTTTGTGCCTGTCTACTCCACATTCATAACTGAGCTTTAGCCTATAAAAAACTGGTGGTAGCTCAGTGAATGTATAGTGCTATTTTATACAGCTGAGTATATTCTGAGCTCATTCTGTTCTCTTATCTTGGAAACTGTTCTCCTTTCCCTTTTACTGATATTTTTTATTCTTTAACATTGAACTCACATGTCATCTTTTTGAGACAGCTTCCTTGATTCCACCTCCCACATTTGCATTTAATCCCATTTTTTGCCTTGTTAAGCAGCCTGTTTATATATCATAGCACTTATCACATTTATTATGATTTTTAGTTTCTTTGCCTCCTTCCAAGGGAAGCTTGCAAGGACTACATTTTATTATTTTTTACTCTGATACTAATACCTAGCACATTGCTAAGTGCTTACTAAATGCTCAATCAATATTTGGTGAATTCAAGGAAGGTTGCTTCTCAGCAGAGTTACATTTCCAGTCTCTTTGACTGAAATATATTTTCATCCATTACAACCATTTATTTGCTCTGTAATTTTGGTGACAACCAGGAAAAGGGATATTATAAGTTTCAAATAAGAAAATTGGAGAATGGTTTAGGATATAGGTTTGGATAATGTTTTCTTCTTCTTTTTTTTTTTAATATTTTTATTTATTTCTAGGAGAGAGAGAGAGACAGCATGAGCAGGGGAGTGTCAGAGAGAGAAGGAGATACAGACTCTGAAATAGGCTCCAGGCTCTGAGCTGGCAGTCAGCACAGAGCCCGACATGGGGCTCGAACCCATGAACCGCGAGATCATGACCTAAGCGAAAGTCGGACGCTTAACCGACTAAGCCACCCAGGCGCTCCTGCATAATGTTTTCTTTTGGAGACATGCTACCTGGAATTATCTGGAATATCTGGCATATTCTTTCTTCGGTCTTTGCTTAACTTTTGCTTTTTGTTTTACTTTCATTTTTACTTAGCTAGGACTTTATTATTTCAGAAAGATGAAAGGGAGAAAAATTTATTTTTGGTTTTTAAAATCTTAAAGTTTGAGAGGCCCCTGGGTGGCTCAGTCAGTTGAGCATCTGACTGTTGATTTCAGCTTAGGTCATGATCCCAGGGTCTTGGGATAGAGCCCTGTGTTGGGTTCTGGGTTGAGCATGGAGCCTGCTTAAGATTCTGTATGTCTCTCCCACTGCCCTTCTTTCCCACTCATGCACTCTCTGTTAAAAAAAAAAAAAGACTAGTGAGTCAACCAAAATTACTCATTCAATCCCAAAAATGACATTAATTTTTAGAAATTTTATTTGCACTTTAGATTTTTTAAATGTTTATTTTTGAGAGAGAGAGAGACAGAATATGAGCAGGGGAGGGGCAAAGAGAGAGAGGGAGACACAGAATCTGAAGCAGGCTCCAGGCTCTGAGCTGTCAGCACAGATCCCGATGCAAGGTTCAAATTCACAAACCTCAAGATCATGACCTGAGCCGAAGCCGAATGCTCAACCAACTGAGCCACCCAGGCCCCGTTTATCTGCATTTTGTTGGCTTTTATGTTAGGACAGTTTAGCCTTTTAATTTCTGAATAACACTGAGAAGAAAAACAGAAAATAAATCTATCTTCTTAAATAATGAAGAAAAGGGTAAAGAGTTTTAGAAATACCAAACTAGCAGTATGTGGAATACACACATTTCTTTTAAATAAGTGAACAATATTTTAGTTTAGCTTTTATTTCCATATGTGTTTCACATCTGTTTTCCTGAGAGATGACTTTGAGGCATTTATAAACCTTGATTATTAGGCAGGAAAGAGCCTAGTAGGACACATACACAAGGCTTTTGAGAAGATAAACTATCTTTCTTCTCTCTTCATCAATTGGCATCAGAGATTATTAGAGAAAAATGGAGACAGTGTACCCATATTCCATTAAGAAAAGTTAGGTCCCAGTTCTTGGAATTTCCCTAATTATATTTATTCATTTTCCCTTAAATTTACATATATTTGAAGTTTTAAAAAATTACATAATTTAGATGTTGTGATGGTAAGACTTTTGGGACACTACAGTGTACCTGTAACCTTAAGATTTCTTTAAGCCAGTATATGGGGCGCCTGGGTGGCTTAGTCGGTTAAGTGTCCGACTTTCGCTTAGGTCATGATCTCGCGGTTCATGGGTTCGAGCCCCGCATCGGACTCTGTGCTGACTGCCAGCTCAGAGCCTGGAGCCTGTTTCAGAGTCTGTGTCTCCCTCTCTCTCTGACCCTCCCTTGCTCACGCTGTCTCTCTCTATCCTAGAAATAAATAAAAATAAAAAAAAAAAAGATTTCTTTAAGCCAGTATAAATTTAGTTTAGTGATGATTTATTCATTTAAAATTAGCATAGTAAGAGAAAGGAGCAAACTTAGAAAATCCATGAATAACAGTTACTCAGCAATTAAAATTGTTTTCACTACATAGCTTGAGAAACTGATTTAGAAAGTACATTTTTTAAAAGTTTATTTTGTGTGAGAGTGAGCGAGCGAGCATGAGAGTAGGTGAGGGGCAGGCAGAAAGAGAGGGAGAGAGAGAATCCTTCACTGACAGCTCTGAGCCCTCTGCAGGGGTCGGTATCAGAAACCATGAAGTCATGACCTGACCTGAACCAAGAGTCAGATGCTTAACCAACTGAGTCACCCAGGTACCTCATAAATGCCATTATATTTTACTTACTGTTATTGTTTACATACTAAGGAAAAAATTGGATACACTGTGAAATGACAGTTTTTTAGCCCTTTCTTCCATATTGAATTAGTATGAAAGATGAAATATATACTGTTATATATTTCTTGTGAAAATTTAGAATATTTTGTAATTCTGGCTAGCTGTGGAATTTCCGTGGCAGTGCTAACTTATATAATTGTACACAAAAAGATAGCTTAGGTATTATGAACTAGTCAACACTACATGGATTTGTATTCTATAAGGCTCTTACAGAGGGCTCTGTTTCTTCAAGGTAAACAAATTGCATGCATTGCAAATGGTTGATGAAAGATGTTTGGGCTATGACTATGTGTGTGAAGAGCTGGGTGTACTAAGGGCATTACTAAGTGTTTAATTATGTGCTTTTCAAATAAGCTGTTTTCATCAAGATTACAGAGTATGATGAATTAGGACAATTAAGCACCATTTGCTCTTTTCTTAAGGTTATTTATTTATCTTGAGAGAGAGAGAGAGAGAACGAACCAGTGGGGGAGGGGCACAGAGAAGGGTACAGAGGATCTGAAGCAGGCTCTGTTCTGGTAGCAAAGAGCCCGATATGAGGCTCGAACTCATGAACCATGAGATCATAACCTGAACTGAAGTTGGATGCTTAACCGACTAATCCAACTAGGCACCCAGGACAGTTAGGTACCATTTGAAAGTAAACTTTGTAACTTTGAGGAAGACTTCAATAGTAGGAAGATTAAAGTGATTTTCTTGTTACTGTGTACCTAGTACATGCCAGGACTTGTACCAACTGCTTTACATCTAATTTATTTAATTTAGTCTTAACAACTTTGTAAGGTAGATTTCCTCCTAATTTTAGAGATGAGAAGATCAATGCTAAGAGGAATAAATTATAGTACATAACTTGCCTAAATTATATTATTAGGTGCTGAAGTCAGAACCTGACCTCTATTATTTTTCTAACTCTAGAGTCCTTATTCTTAACCCCTGTACCATAGTGATTTTCACTCTCTGAAATTTAATTTTTTCAAAAGTAGGAATTGGGCTTTATTACTTTTTTCTATGATACCTAAATTATTGACCTTTAAATATTCTAGTTATTCTTTAATTTTTTTCTTTTGACATTTTGTTCATGTTGTAATAGATTGCTGTCTTATGGAAAGATCTACCACGGTAGACATGCTGAGTGCCTGGAACCTTCTGATAGCTTCAAGGGCCCTCTACGGCTCTTGTGCTGTAGAGCTGCAGATTCTACTGCAGCTTTGGTATATCCTCTTTTTAACTGGTGTTTGGGTCAGTTTTGATACTTTTCTCTTCTAGGAAAGACTTTCAGCTATTTGTTTAATCATTTAACTTTGTCTCTCCTAGGAAAGACTTTTAGCTAGTTGTTTCAGCTATTTGTTAACTTATTTGTCTAACTTATTTTTATTTTTTTTTAAATGTTTTATTTATTTCTAGGAGAGAGAGAGAGAGAGAGAGAGAGAGACAGTGTGAGCAGGGGAGGGTCAGAGAGAAAGGGAGTCACAGACTGAAACAGGCTCCAGGCTCTGAGCTGGCAGTCAGCACAGAGACTGATGCGGGGCTCGAACCCATGAACCGCGAGATCATGACCTAAGCGAAAGTCGGACACTTAACCGACTAAGCCACCCAGGCGCCCCTTATTTGTCTAACTTAAAAGGTCTTATTTATCCTCCAAGATTCTTTTTTTTCATATCTCCTTCGCTTTTTTCTTTCTTTAAATATGGTGGCAAAAGAAACCATACAAGAATAAGATGATGATCATTTATTGCTCAGAAGAGAATTCTAATCTTTAAAAATTTTCCCTTTCCTTGCTAATATTTGTGCTTGTTTTTGTTGATTATTCTTTTCAACATTTTGTACAAAAGTGACCATTTTGTATTGAGGCTTGCATTTCTCCTATTTTGGGGGACCACTTTTTTAAGGGGCTCAACATTTTAAAACATACTTAAACATAATATAGTCAGGCATTTAAACAGAGATACAAAATACAGTTGACATTTCTTTGATGTGTCTCCTTATCTGTCTCAAATTTTCTCTTAAATACTACAGTTTTTGGATTATTTTTCTTATGAGCCACACTTTAGAATTCAGTAATGGTAGGGGACCATAAAAATAGTATATTATCAGTTCTTAAAATGAGTTATCAACTTAGTATATTAGATTCTCTCATCTCTTAAAAGTAAGTAAAATTTATTTACATTAAGGTATTTATCTGGAAAAAATAGTTCTAACCTCTCCTATATTCCTATATTTTCCCTAAAATATTGAGAAACACATATGAGCTTTTATTGAATTATAGTTGAATCTTTTTAGTGATTTATTTCATAGCAATTTCTAGTGTGAGATTAGAGAAAAGAAATCTTGAGACTCCTTACTGGTTGTATGTTACCTCCATTCCCACTTTGGATCCAGGATTTTAAGGAGGGTTCTGTCAGGCATTAGTTACACAAAGCACACAATGATAACTAGGATCCTTAGAGATTTAAATCACGTGAAAAGGTAGAAAAATATCTCTGCCTTCCCCTCCTTATAATTGTTGGTTATACTAGATAGCTAACTTCTTTCTTCACTCAAAAACCTCTGAGTTTAAGGAGTTGTATTTACTGCCTTTGCTTTTACATTATACATGCTACTTTTTTTTGGTTTATTTATTTTTGAGAGAGATAGAGACAGGGCATGAGGATGGGAGGGGCAGAGAAAGGGAGACACAGAATTTAAAGCAGGCTCCAGGCTCTGAATTGTCATTGGAGAGCCCGACGTGGGGCTCGAACTCCCAAACCACGAGATCATGACCTGAACCAAAGTCGAATGCTCAGCTGACTGAGCCGTCCAGGCGCCCCTAATTCATACATAATACTTAATCATTGCAATATTTTTTTTGTGGAGTTTCTGCTAGAAAATGCATATTTTCAAGGATTCCCTGCAGTATCTATAGGAAAGCTGAGTCATCTGGATCCTTTGGCACTTAGTATTAAGAATACCTATAGTGGAATAAAATAAAGAAACCAAAATACAATAGGCCCAGGTTCTTCTACTAGGAAGAGTTATACCTTCAGCCATTTAACTTTTCTGAGCTTTGAATTCTTCATGTTTTAAATAAAGGTAAGACTAAATTATTTTAAGTTTTCAACGTCTGAAATTCTGTGCTGTCTAGAACATAGTGAAAAGAACATAATGCCTCTATGTAGTAAAAATGAGTACCTCTAGGTACTACAGCAAATATAACAAAGTATAACAGGGAAGTTCACATGTTTCACTTAAACAGAAGTACTCCAGCCCTCTCTAAGTATTTTCTGTTGTTTCTCACATAGGGTCAATAAAGTGCTGCAGGTGACATATTGATAATGTCAAGGGGAACATCTGATGAAGAGGAGATAGGAAAATTTTAAAAATTCAGTAACAAGAACTAAAAACTAACACAGTAATTTGGTTTGTGTTGGTCAGTTCAGGGTCAAATAATTGCTTGAGATCATCATTGTAGTGTGGCAAAGTATATCATGGGTGTTCATAAAAACAGTTGGCTAACCAAGAAAAGATTATATTATCCTCTTCTGTTTAGGAGATAGCAGGCTTTTATGTAGTACATTTGATGTGAACTCCACCAATTTTAAAAAGTGTGGAGCTTTAAAAATACACTTTAATTTTCTAGACATTTGATTTGTTGGCTCTTTCCTTGGTGCTCTTATATAAAGCATATATATTACAATGACTACATGTCCTGTTTTACTTATGGAATCTATCATTACCACAGATGCCATCTGAATGATGTCTTTCCTATTGGATTTAGCATTTCTCATTTGCTAATTACAAGTATGTAATTACTCATCAAGAACCTTTCTGCTGAGTGAGAAGAATGAAGATTTCTTGAATTGGTTTAATCTGTGTATTTAATAATTATTGGGCAAAAAAACAATTTTTGAGAAAAATTGGTTAAAGTTTTAAGCACCCCAATAGCATCATTAGTTGAGTTAAAGCCATTATTGTGGCAGGCTAATCTGTACCAATTTATAAGACACTAGTACTTCTAAAAATAAAAAATAAAACCAATGTGTTCATACAGAATTTTGAGTATTTATGGGTTGATTTCTAGAGTGGTATACTTCTAATTGCTTACTGTGCTAAGATGAAAATGTTTGAAAATTCAACTTCTTAGAATACTTTGTTGACTGCAAACTTCAGTACAGTACAGTGTTTGTTATTTTGTGTGAACAGGATACCCAGAGTTATATTGACGAATGTCCTGGGAACGGAGTTAGGAAGAAAATACATAAAGACCTCATCTGTAACTAAGGCCAGTTTGGGTGATACAGACAACTTGCAATCAGAGCAGCTTTCTTCATCATCTGATGGCAGCCTAGAATCTTGTCAAAATCTAAATCCTCACAAGAGCTCCTTTTTATCTGAAAGGTATGTTTAGTGATAACTTTATTCAAAATAAGTATTATACTTATTCTAATGAGCCACTCTATTTTTCCCCCATAGATGCGTTATTCCTAAAAGTGAGGCAGATGTGCTCTGGTGGCTAGTATGACTTTTCTCTCCCAGTAGCTTGAGATGACTGTGGGAACCAACAGTCTGTGGCTAATAATCAGTTTCAGAAAGTTCACTGTACTTGTGTTTTGGGAAAATAGATGCAGACTTTAATGAAAACTTAGTTACCTATTTCAGTTTGGGTGATAAAATTGAAATCTCTTCTTTTGACATTTTTCTTTTCTTCCTCCTCTGTCCTATTTATACATCTGGCCATCTATTGGTCTGTCTATCCATTCATTCATCCATCTTGCCATCTTGACACGATCACTGTTTTTATATCCAGATTCTGGCACTAGACCTGGCATTTAGTACTCAGTAAATATTTGCTGAATGAATTGCTGAATGTATTCCTCACAAAAATGGTTTGGGATTCCATTAACAAACAGGGCTTGCTTAGCCAGTGAGTGAAATGGAAATCTGAAGTTGCTTTTATTTCAACTTATAAGAGATGCTTCTGTGGAGACTACAAATAAAAAAGAAATTGTGGGATAAAGCTGAGGGATGTCATTTAGTAAATACTACTAAATCTTTTAACTTTCATTTACCATGAACTTCTCTTGTTAATTTTATGCCCTCTGCTAGTATAATAAAGTAGTTTTGATTTTAGTAAAAAATTTTTGATCCATTCTTTTTTTTTTTAATTTGCCCTGAACCATCCACAGGTATCTTCTAGTTTGTATTTTTCTTGTAAGCCTAATTACATTAAAGAGTATTTATAGCTAACTTTTTAAAGATCTATAATAAATTTCTTACATTTCTGACACTTTTATTTTTATAAACTGTTTATTTCTTATGAACTTATAAATTTTATAATTTTTTCTCCTTTTGGAGAATATTTTTTGTTTCATATCAGTTCTACTTAGTGAGTTGTTAATGGCACTTTTAACATTATACTTTATTAGGTGTTTTCTGAATTTACCAGAAGAACTGAGTTTCAGTAGCATTATCCAATTATTAATGTATTTAATGTATAAATTAATGTATAATTAGAGATATTAGAAATGCATTTATCAGTTTGTACTATAGATATTTGTTTCTGCCTCCTCTACTAGTCCGCGAGTTCCTTAAGGAGAAGCATTATGTCTTAATTATATTTATGACCAGTGTTTAGCTGAATACATACTTTAATTTTGTGTACTTTGATTAATGTTCATGTCATTTAATCTTGAGCTTTGGTTTCCTGAGTTGTAAGAAGAGAAATGACTTTTTATATCACACAATTATTTATTATCTTTTTAATTTAAATATCATATGTCAGAATTCTTTGTGTACATAAAACATTTAAAAATGTTATTATTGATGATACTTTGTATAGAAAAAGTCACTTATTATGTACTGTCCCAGTGGAATTCAAAAGACATTGGTGCACATTCATACTGTTAAGAAAAATAGCACTGTTATGAGGATTCTTTGGAACTATCAAATTGTAGACTACTGTACAGGTTTTGTACCAATTTGGGGCTAAGATTTAATAATAATAAATCTAAAATTTCTGATTGTTTCTAAAATCTGTTCAGTGAGAACTCTAGCTCTCTTCAAGTCCTTTCTAAATAGTTATGAAATTTCCAGGTGGTATTTGATGTGGGCTCTGCAAATTCATTTTCTTGGTGGTGGTTTGCTTTGTTGCATTTAGAATAGGCATAGACTTTGGAGCCAGACATCAGTATTGCAAACATGCTGATTTACCTTGAGCAAGTTACTTTGATTTTTAAAACATGGATAGTAACACACATCTTAAAAGATTATTGTGCAGAATTAAGGAGATAACTATGTAAAATTCTTAATATAATGCCTGAAACTTAGTAGGTAGTAGTAATTATTTTTGTGTCTCTCTTATTTATACCAAAAGTACCATTAAAGGCTGGTGCTGTATGTTGATGCTACTGAAGTCTTCTATTGTGAAGATACTGATCCTTCTCACCTTCTGATCGTGAGATCACTGTTACTCCATTACCATTACAATACTGCCAAGGCAATTGTCACAGCTATACTAAGTATTACCATTTGGTTTAAGGAGGAGTACTGTAGTACTTAAACCAAAATTTAGTTCTCTCTTACCTTAAAATGAATTCACTTTGAGGAGAATCCATAGTGCCCTATGGAAATAAATTGCATGTGTGGCCATAGCATCCTTCAGTTAGATGTGTCCCATTAGAACTGAATATAGCATGGACGCAGGGTAGGCTCAAGGATGGGACTCCTCTAACCAGCCTCCTCCCAGCCTGCCTATCTTAGTCAAAATCAGGAAGAGGAAATATAAATTATTTAGATCTTTTTCAGAGACACAGGTTCTGACACTATTGTAATTGTTATTGAAGAGAATGTGATAAACATGTCCACTCTTTGTTATAAAGAATGTCGAGTAACAACTAAAACTCCGTGGGTAGGAGAATGGAGGCTATGACTGAAAACTGAGGAAGTTTTCTCTGAAAACCTAGCACTTATGCCCTTGATGATATTTATGGAAAAGTGTTTTATAAAGGCTAAAAGTCTATTTTATATATATATAGATTTATATATATATTTTGTTTTTAAAAAATATTTTTAATGTTTATTTATTTTTCAGAGAGAGAGAGATTGAGCACAAGTGGGGAAGGGGCAGAGAGAGAGAGGGAGACACAGAATCTGAAATAGGCTCCAGGCTCTGAGCTGTCAGCACAGAGCCTGATGTGGGGCTCGAAATTGTAACTACAAGATCATGACCTAGGTTGAAGTCGAACGCTGAACCAACTGAGCCACCAAGGTTCCCCTGTTTTATGTATTTTAGGGAGAGAGAGAGAGAGAGAGAGAGACAGGGAAGAAGAGAGAAGGGGAGGGGAAGAGAAAGGGGGACAGAGGGTCCAAAGCATGCTCTGTGCTGATGGCAGAGAGTCTATTATGGGGCTTGAACTCACAAACTGCAAGATCATGACCTGAGCCTAATTTGGCTGCTTAACTGACTGAGCTACCCAGGTGCCCCAAGGCTAAGAGTCTTATCTTAACCTTAGCCTGTCTTAGTGTTCAGAACTGTTATTGTTGACTATAATAACAACTGAAATGGACTTATGCAGGAAAAAATATTCTGTTTTATGCCAAAAATAAAGGAATAATAAAAAACCAAGAATGAATAGGAAATTTGAATTAAACTGGTCTCTTTGAAGTAGCATATTTGTTTTTTTATAGATGGCAATTTTTAATTTAAAAGATAAACTTAATTATTAAACTTTATATTACTTCTTTAAAATCTTTTAACTAATACTTAAGTATTTATGATATTACACTGTGATAAATGAATTTCATCTCAGTCTATTTGCTTAATTTCTTTCCCTATGCCTCAGTTTACCTCATCTGTAAATTACATAATAATACCTAGGTATTCTGGAGAATGAAAAATTAGCATTTCTCTTTTAATTTGATAACTTGCCAGTCAATACATTGAGATATATCTACTTTTACAAATACGTATTTCCTTATGAGTGAACATTTATGTATTTTTCATTTTTTGTCTATATAGCATTGCTGCAGTAAGTTTGTGTATTTATTTTTATAAATTTTTATAGTGCCATTCTTTTAACCAGAATTAAGTGTTATCATTGAAAAAATTTTTTATTCCCTATTGACAAAAATAAATATAACTTTACAGAAAATTGTTTTCATTTCAGCTGTTTTTTATTTTTAGTTAAGATATATCTTGATTTTGTATTTCCTATATGAGTTTTCTCTTTAGTGTTTGTATGTATTGAGGTGTTCTGTTTCTTACTGACATGTAAGAACTCTTATGAAAGGTATTAACTCGTTACATGTGTTGCAAAAGTTTTTTCAAGTTTCCTTTTTGTTAATTTTACTTTGTTTATAGTATCTTCTGTAGTATAAATTTTTAAATTTTATTTTGTAAAATATGTTAGGACTTGACCCCTGTGTTTTGGTTTATCCTTGGAAATACCTCTTCAACCCCAAGTACAGAAATAGGTTAATCAACCGGTATCTTATTTGTGATGATTTAGATGATGTAACATCCAGAACAACAGTGTGGAGATCATTTCCCTAATTGAGGTTCTGATTCCTTTTTTGCCTCTCTGTAGTCTGGTATAAACATCTTTGGACGGTTGGATTGCTTTCACCTTTTGGCTATTGTGAATAACACTGTTAGGAACATTGGTATGCAGGTATCTCTATCCCTGCTTTAAGTTCTTTTGCATATATACCCAAAAGTGGTTTTTCTGGATCATATGGTAGTTCTTTCTAGTAGTAATTTTTGAGGCACGACCATTACTGTTTTCTATAATAGCTGCACCATTTTACCTTGCCATTAGCAGTGGATAGGGGTCCCAATTTCTCCACATGCTTGTTAAAACTTGTTATTTTCTGTTTTTATGTAATAGTTATCCTAATGGGTGTGATATGATATCCCATTGTAGTTTTCATATGGATTTCCCTAAAGATTAGTGATGCTGAGCATCTTTTCATGTGCATATTGGCCATTCTTATGTCTTTTTTGGAGAAATGTCTGTTCAAGTCCTGTGCCCTTTGATGAATTAGGTTATGTTTTGAGTTTTAGGAGTTCTCTATATATTCTGAATATTAATATCTTCTCAGAAATATGATTTTCAAATATTTTCTCCCATTCTTCTCTGACCACATGGCAGGAAGTTAGAAATTATTAACGGAAGGAAAATTGGGAAACTCTCAAATTTGTGGAAATTAACACACTTAAAGTAACCAATGGGTCAAAGAAGGAATCACAAGGAAATTAAAAAATGGTTAAGAATGAATGAAAATGAAAATATATCAAAACATATGGTATGCACAAAAGCAATGCTAGAGGCAAAATAAATATATAGCTGTAAATGCTTACATTAAAAAGAAATATCTCAAATCAGGGGCGCCTGGGTGGCTTAGTCGGTT